AAGTACCGATAGTTACGTCGACCAACACAATTGCCCACCCACGGACAGTGATGATCAAAGCGGTCTGCGTGTGTTTGGGCATACACACACACACACACACACGCGCACGTGTGGCGATTTTGGCCAAGGGTTTTGAGAGGGGAACAGAGACAAAAGAGCGAAGAGATTAGCTTATAAAACTGTTTGGAAGTATCCGAAATTGAGCATCATCAATAAAAACGAATGGTTGGGAAGGGGAAGATTTACGACTGGGATATATATGCAAGTACTCCACCGGTATAAACAATGATTGCCTCTTGTAAGTATACTTCCCTACACACGTGAGTGGCAGGCACCTAGGCGAGCAAGAGCTCACATTATCCAACAATAGACAGACAGAGAGAGAGAGAGAGAAATGTCCGAGCGCGTTGCAATTCAGTCCAGTTCTTACAACCATTAACCAAACACCTGCATGCACCTGTTTTGGTTGCATTTTTAGGCTGCCTATTTGGATAGACGAGCAGAAGATAGATTGGAATGAATAAAGGACAGTGAGTAGATGTACAAGCGCCACTGTTTCCGACACCCAGCCATATCATTCAGTGTCTCTAACCACCGGTTACATTGAATTTAGAGTCCCCATCCAGGGAACCTAACGCGAACTATCTGACCGAGTCTCATGGTCAGTGTTTTCCTATCCTCATGCCAGGTCTTTGTTTGATCATCATACACTACGTGCTTCGGCAAACATCGCATGCCGTGGCAACTTATTGGGTGACATGCACAATGAACATACCAACCAGCGTAATCCAGGGAGGTCAACCACTTGCACCAGTAACCGACCGCGATTCTCTGAAAATCTGCGCCCAATCTCGGCATTGGTGTTCCACCAAACACGTACAATACCGCGGACGACCCTGCGTTGAACAAATCTTCACTCTCCCTAGGATTCTGGAACACCGCTACAAGTTCCAACAGCCTACCACTGCATGTTTTATCGACTTCCGCGATGCCTTGGACTCTGTCGATAGGGAATCCTTGTGATGCATGTTGCGGTCCGACGGGATGCCTGAGAACTTCATCAAGCTTTTGAAGTCGTACTACTCAGGGACCCGGGCAAGCGTCCGTACCTATGGAGAACAACCAGCTGAGTTTACCCTAAGCTCTGGAGTCAGGCAAGGTTGTCCCTATCGCCGGTGTTATTCAATTACACTGTACCTTGGATGATACAAGCATTCATCGACTACCCTGGAGTGCACCTGGGCCCACGTACACGGATTACTGACCTCGATTTTGCGAATGATGTCGTTGTACTAGGAGACACCATGGACAACCTCCAGCCTGTTGTCAATCGTATAAATCAGTTTACCCATTGGCTGTAGAGATCAACACGTTGAAAACCAAGCCACTTTAAACCGAAACTGCCATGACAGAACTTCTCTCGATTACCGGGGAGCTTGTCAAATCAACCGAAGTTTTCAAGTACCTTGGCTCTAAGATAAGACCAAACGGTTAGGCTAAGGATGAAATCTAACTCCGTGTAGATGGAGCTAGAAGAGCCTTCCTGTAAATCCTCAGGTCGTTGGAGAATCGATGCGAAATAAGCTTCCGGTTTATCAGGCTTCTATTCACCCCCATCCTCGCTTATGGTTGTGAAACCTGGCCGCTAAAGATTACAAGATACAAAGAAGTTCAAAGTCTTTGATCATTGGTGTTTAAGCCGCATCTTGAAAGTATGTTGCAGAGATCGGATTTCCAATGATGAGGTTCAACGGCGCTGCTTGAACCTTGACAAGCTTTAAAAAATGCTACAATGCCGGCGCCTTCAATGGTCTGGTCATGTGCTCCGAAGGCCCGACACTCAACTCTCGCGACAGGCTGTAGCCGCCGGCACCGTGTCGTGGATGGCATTGCCGACTCGGTGGTCAACTGAAGACCTGGAGCAGTACGATCAAGGAGGACTTGGAATTATTGGGCCTCGAATCCGTATACAGAATTCATAAGTGGAACCAGAACTGGATTTGACATTGCCTCAACCTTGCTACCGATCGTCGTGTATGGGCTGCTATCATCAGAGACATCCAAGAAGCCGACTTATCCTCCCGCACGAGTTAGTTGCTCAAAAGTACGGCAAAAATAAGTAATGCGGTGTGGACAGCGGTGTTCGAACAACGACTGTCTTTCTTTACCCTGGCCCCCTAATGGCAGTGGACGATATGAGGCTCCACTGGGACAGACACTACATTGAGTCGGCTAACGGCCAGAGTCGAATTTCAGAACCCGAAACCCGTTTGTGACATCACCCACTGAATAGTTGTTTTATCCTAGTTTGGGACTCATCGGAAATGCGTGACATATTTTTTGTGTAACTGTGCTAGAAATCGAACCACAGCCGAATACGAGGCGATTTCTGATGCAATCCATCCACTGTAATGACATCATCATCACGATGAAATGTTTACGTGTAAAGACGGAAAAGAAGCCAAACCAATGAGTTTACAAACAAATCATGTGTTAGGAACGGGTTGAAATCGCTGCCACTCATTACATGTCTTTTTACTTCCTTTTTTATTTATTTACTGAATATACAAGTGTGCAGTCAAATTTTAGGAAGGGGGCTGCGACCATACAAATGCTGCCTGGGAAAAAAAAACAGAAATAGGGAAGACGGGCGGCAGTGGAGCGGCTCGAACCCGGAACTTCCGGGTCACAATTTGGTGACCTAACCATTTGAATACCAATTCTCTCTCCAGTAGAATTCCAAAACTAAAAACTGGGAATCACATAGATAGATATCGCTCCTGTCCATCTATAAATTATTTGGAAATAACCCTCAAGACATTCAAAACAACATTACTAAGCATACAAATCGGGTCCAAGAATGGCAGTTGAGCTAGCTGGGTCTTCGAGTTGGACAATCCAACCCAGGCCAATTCACGGACATCTGTGTCGGTGTACGGATGGAGCTTATTGTGCGGGATCTCACTCCTCAATAGTTCGTTCACTCTCAACTTGCTTCACACATTTTCTTTGTGTACAGTTGCCGACAGAAACACACATGTTTCATCATTCTTAGGGCTCATTAGTTGCGCATATTCTTCTTTTGCCGTTGACTCGAGGATCGAAACCGTGATCTACCGCGTCGAATCCTGGCATACACACCAAAATGGAACGCGGAAATGCTGACGAGTCTGGACAAGGCCGAAACAGCTGGTCTCTGTCGACCACAATACACAATTTTACCGAAAGGCGATTTTAGTCATTCGTCAAGAAGTAATGGTGTCCACTCAGTGACGCATGTCACGTGCCTCAAGCAAACAAAATTGGGAACGATCGGACATGTTGAACGAAAAGTTAAAAAAAAGGGCAAAGTCTGAAGAAGGACACAGTGGAAAGTCCAATTGATTAGAAGGTGAATCCAAATTTCAAAAATCCACTGACAGATGGAGGAAGAACAGTGATGCCAGACAGAAAAAAAAAATAAAAGCAATCCGGTATTGCAAATCGCAACAATCAATGGAAAAACAAGTCCCCGGGAAACGTACCCACACAATTATCGCATGTGGAACAGTGCGAGGCGCGGGGTGGACGAAAAAACCGACACGTGTGACAAAAATTCAATTTGACCAAATGGTCTCGGACCAGAATTTGACGTGTATGCGCTCCGATCGGATACGGTCGAACGACTGGCTGTTGGGAATCATTTCCTAATCCATCCATAGGCATATCCCCGGTCGCTAAGAGGAGAGTACAGGCAGGGGGAGATAAAGTGAAACACGGTATATTGGTTCATCTGGTCCTAAAAAAATGCTGATTGGGGTAAGTGGAAAAATTTACTACTCGCAAGAATCAATTTTATTAGTTATTTGTGATAAACTGTTTGTGGAAAACGTCGACAACGGCACAATCACTGATTTGATTTTATTCATACACAGTAAAATAGCGGCAAACGGTATTCCGTCAAACAGTGCAAACGCAGCATTCTTTCTCAATTCCCATCAAAGTGATCAATCATATATAATGATCGGGTTTATAATTCTATCCAGTTTCAATTATCTAGTTGTTTTATCGATCCCAGCCTTAATATGTACTGCTTCTTCTCATCCGTCCATTCATGCTGAAACAATACGCGCGAAATCATCAAACTGTTATAAGTCTAAGGTCAGCCGATCTACAGGCTATACTGACAGCAAGTTCATGACTGCATCATCATCATCATCGTACAGCGAAATACAGAGAAGTGAACTTCAATGATCGCTGCCAAACTCGCAATGCATATGCACTGGGGTTTAATGGACGGGTATTGCTAGGGTGTCCAGCCACTAAGCAGGTAAAACGATTAGGGTTTTCAGCCAAAGCATTTAGTTCTGGCAAGAACCTAGCCGCAAGGCAGCGGATGAAGCGAAGTGGAAGCCCATGTACTTGGATCAATCACTCATCCAGAATTTTTACCGACCGAAACGCCAATTCTAGTCGAATACCTAACCTGTAGCACTAAGAGAATTCGTCCGACTTCTACCCTTCAACGTTCCAGGCATGATTAAAACTTCTGCTTGACAAAAGCCATCCTGTGTAGCTCGTTGGGTGCACAAACCATCACACCACGCCAAGGTAGTTGAACGCGATCATATGGACATTGTTTCAGTAAATAAGCTGTAGCGAGATCTCAGTGACGCTTGGTAAAATTTGTGGTTGTTACTGTACTTCACTTGACTGTGATGCTCTCGGCAAACCGAAGGTTTCCAACAGCATGTCGAAGGGTAGCTGTGGACTTTGAGCCCTTTCTTCGTGGCATTTCGTTGGCCGTAATTGATTTGCGTGACGCAACCAAACTTTGGACTGTACTTGTACCTCATACAATACAGCTCCACGTCTTCTCAGAATTCTGCCAGTTGCCCAGCAAGAACCGTCTGAACTGAAACTGTGAAAAGTAAAGTATTCAGGCGGAAAAGATATGCTGGTTTGAAGACAGAGAGAGAGAGATCTTCCCGTTGAGTATCATATTTTGAACAAACAAATGGTGCAACACACCCACGTACAATACAGTATAATAATAATATAGAAACAAACGATTCCATTCCCCCTTACCGATCGATATTTTTATCCAGTCTGACTCCAGTTTGGTTGCACGTGGGAGCACGCCGGGGTCGGTGAATGCAGCTCGAAGAAATGTGAGCAAAACGTAGAGGAACAGCAGTGCAGCAAAAAACGGCACAGCGGGTGTGAGAATTGGAGTCAGTAATCGCGCTTCAAAAACCATGAATAGAACTGTGACTCCAACGAGTAGAAACAGGGTGAGATAGAAAACTCCCATTTCTCGTGAATGAACTCCATGCCCGCCACAACAGAATCGATTTTTTCCCGGATGAATGCGATAGTACTTGACTGACCGCGAGGACTCTCGCGGGTCACAAATTGTTGTCGATGTTACTTCTGGTGTGGTATACATGATCAGGACGTACCAAAAAGCGGGTCTTTGGACATGATGATGATGAGATGGCACTCTCACCGAACCATACCTCCTGAAATACAAGACAAAGATGAGAGGTATCAGAAAAATGATGTAACGTCGCAAAGTAGAAGATGGACTAACTTAAAAACAAAGGATTGAAATACTGATCAAAGACTGGAGAGATGTCTTATTTGAAAGATAAGGTGACAGTCTCAAAAATGAGCAATGGAAAGGGCCAGGCTGTTTACTTTAGCAAATCGTACTTCAAATATTCCAGGGGCGTTCACGTGGTGTTCCATTAAAGTTGAAAGACCGCGTATACTGTGCCAATGTGCGGCCACTTGTCTTACGGTTGTGAGACCCTGGGTTTGCGCGACGAGGGCATCCGACAATGGGAGGCTTTCGAATGTTCGAATGTTCTCCAGCTGTCCATTCAAAACGTAGGTATTGAATGGACAGCTGGGGAAAAGCTATGCGATTTGGAGTACGCCGAT